GAGGACAAGGCCAGCCCTGCGGGGACGGCAGGGGGGCCTGGGGCTGTTGCCGCGGCCTGGGGCGCTGGTGGACTTTCTGATGCAGCTGGAGGATTACATGCCTATGATCCCAGATGCAGTGACTGGTTACTACCTGAACTGCGCTGGCTTTGAGGCCTCAGACCCTCGCATAATTTGGCTCATCTCCCTAGCTGCCCAGAAATTCATCTCAGATATTGCCAACGACACACTGCAAAATGAAGGGCACAGCCTCTGGCAGCTCCTGAAGCAAGAGCAAGGACCGCAAGTACACTCTAACCATGGAGGACTTGACCCCTGCCCTCAGCGAGTATGGCATCAATGTGAAGAAGCCGCACTATTTCACCTGAGCCACCCAACCTATATGTACTTGTCTGCCCCCTTATCCCCACGCCAGCCTGTTTTCATAATAAACTTTATTGTGACAGGTAAAAAAAAAAAACACCAAAAAAAAACTATTTGTTTATACCAACCTTAAAGGATGTATTATTAGATGACATGTTTGGTTCCAAACAATTCCTTTCAGATAACAATACTTTTTTAATACGTCTTTGAAGTTGTGCTATTTTTGCCTAGAAGAAAAAGAGAAAAACAGATAAATATAAAACCAGAGTACTAAAAAACATATCATATAGAGATGGAGTGAAAACAATTTGCCAAAGTACTTTTCTTAGACTTATTTATCCACCCAAATAAGTGAGAAATTCTTAGACAAGCCAAATATTTAAATCACATTTGATGCATCCTCTGACTGATGAATGGATAAAAGATGTGGTACATATACAATGGAATACTACTCAGTTTATAAAAAAAGGAAATTAAAAAAAGGAAATATTGCTACTTGTGACATGGATGAACTTAGTGAAGTGAATCGACAGAAAAGGGCAAAATGGTATTTTACTCAAACAAATAAAACAAAAACAAACTCTTAGCAACAGATTGGTGGTTATGAGAAGGGAAGTGGGGTTGGAGAGGTTGAAATGAGTAAAAGGGGTCAAAGGTATAATGATGGATGGGAACTAGATTTTTGGTGGTAAGGATGCTACAATGTATAGATACTGGATTACATACTATTGTACACCTGAAACTTATATAATGTTATAAGCCAATGTGAACTCAATTAAAAACATCATGTTTGATGCTGGTATAGTATTCTAGAATAGAAAATAAAAATACCAAACTTCAAATTAGTCCATAATAAAATTAATGTTGGTAGAAACACCAATCAGCAAGTGAGTGTATACTGAAGATTGAAAGAAAAAAAACCCTTGAAACTGGTTCCACAAGCTCTAATACAGACTATATAGGGTACCCCCCAAAATGTATACACACTTTAACAGTTGCTATAGATCCTATTACATTTTGAAAATGAAATGTATTTTAATAAACACTGCCTTTATAGTGTGTACACATTTTGGGGGGACACCTTGTATTTTGAATTAAAAGAAATTGCCTATGTATTAAGCCTGTCAATATCAGAATAGCTGCTATTTCTAAAAGTACATGACAAGGGCCAATACTGCTAAGATATAATGAATTCTTAACCTATGGAAATCTCATACATCAGGTTTGTGGCCAGAGATCATATTTGGGTCTGCCTATATTGTTTTCCTTCCCTAACATATAAAACATCACCAAATTCTACTTTTTAAAAGGACTCAAAGGAAATCAAGGGAAATTAGAAACTTACGAAGAGTTCATCAGCTATTGCTTCATGTTTATTCCTGCACTGTGTCTTCCCAATGCGTTCAGTCAATTCTTTTAGTTTGTTATCAAATAGTTTGTAATGTATACTATAGATCTCCTGTTGAATCAAATGTTTGACCTAGAATTTTAAAATAAAAACCAAAATACCCTGTTTCAAATTTAAAAGCAACTTTTTTTACTTCTTAAAAAGCTTTGCTATTTTCTGTAACCAATAAAGTATACTTTATATTATTATGTTTACATTTATAGACCAGTAAGTTTTTTAAAGGTTGAGTATCAAATTCAATAGAACATACAACTTAAACCTACTATTCCATAAAAAGGAACTCCACTTATCTGAAATCAGAGCCCAATGAAAATGGCTGGTTGGTCTGTAGTAGAGATGGAGCAGGTTATGAAAGTTTGATCCTTGACCCTGCCATGAACAGTCATATGTACTTATTTGCTCAATGTGTATGGTCATATACACAACTTTTATAACAGAGTTAGGTAGTCTCTCTTAATAACAAAACCTGCATTAATACATTTAAAGTATTTAATAGTAACATTTACAACTTTACCCTAATATCTTGTTCTTGGTGCTCAAAATTGGAACTTAAAAGTTTGTATGCTAAATTCTTTTATACTGATATCACCTGGATGTAATTCAGTATTTGATTATTTCTAAGGTTTTTCCTTCTCATTTTCAATTGTTCTTACTCTTCAACACTATTTTCTACTTGATTTCTTCTGTAATGCTTCATTAATATTTCTTCAAAAAGTTTCTCAACATTATTAGATATGATTGTCATTAATATTTTCACAACTTTTAAATATTTGATTCAATAAATAAGTGCTTAAAATATGTGTTATGTAAAATGCTCAGAAACACATACCAATACTATTTTTACTGACAACCATTACCTGTCACTCATGTGGTTATTATGGATTACTGCACGCTTACAAGTTCACTGGCTGGGGTCAATAAGTGAAGTTCATAACCTTGGAGAAATATCTCAGTGTTCTGAATATGGGAATAACATTTTGCTAACAAGCAAATGCCACAGTGTTTGTCAAACTTCCTGGTGAGGAAGAATTACATGGGATACTTATTAAAAGTCACAAATTCTTGCCCTGGCTGGATGGCTGGCTCAATTGGTTAGCTCTCCCGTACACTAAAAAAAGGTTGTGGGTTTGATTCCCAGTCAAAGCACATATCTGCATTGGTTGATCTATGATTTGATTCCCAGTTGGGGCACTTATAGGAGGCAATTGATCAATGTTTCTCTCTCACATCGACGTTACCCTCTCTCAAAAATCAATGAGAAACATATCCTCAGGATTAAAAAGTCACAAATTCCCAGGCTCTCCCCTGGATTCACCAAATAGAATTTCTTGGAAAGGAGACTGTTAGTTTGAGAAAAGAGTAGCCTAAAAGAACAGTCTTCAACTATTAGTGAGCTTAAGAAACCATAATTTAGCCCTAGTTAGTTTGGCTCAGTGGATAGAGCATTGGCCTATGGACCAAAGGGTCCTGGGTTCGATTCTGGTCAAGGGCACGTACCTTGGTTGTAGGCTCCTCCCTAGCCCAGGCCCTGGTCAGGGCTCGAGCAAGAGGCAACCAATTGATGTGTTTCTCACACATTGATGTCTCTCTCTGTCTTTCCCTCTCTCTTCCACTCCCTAAAAATCAATGGAAAAATATCCTTGGATGAGGATTAACAACAACAATAAAAAAATTTTTTAAAAAAAGAAACCACAATTTAAACAAGTATTCCTGGTGATTCAGATGGAAGCAGACTCTGATAACTTGATTATTTTGGACTAAATATCCACCAACTGGTAGATTCCTCTTAGATTGGACATTTGTTCTCATTTAGTGGTGTTGTTCCTCATGTAGAGGACAGACACAATAACCTCCAACAAATACCTTATGAATGTCTTCTGCCAATGGCACTGTGTTAAAATTATAAAATCAGATGGAAGTCCTAGATACAATTTTCAGATTGCAGACAAAATAGCCTAAAGATTGGACAAAGACTGGCAATTGTATCTCCAATGTGCCTCAACTATCTAAGATGGTGGATGGAGTGACTAACTTGGATTTTAGAAGAAAAACTCTTCTACTTCAATAATTTAATTGGCACCAATTAAGCCAAGATCCTTATGAAACCTCAAAAGAAGAGTCAGCAGCCCCAGAATTCTCTCATAGGAAAGAACAACCTACGAACGGGAGACCCTAGTCCACTGGGATTCAAGGAAGAAAAACAGATGTGGTTTAGAAAGTTTACTGTTTGAACAGGAATCAAAACATCAAGTGAGAGTAAGCTAGCTCAGCTATTTAGAGGTAGGTAAAAAGATAGGAATTAGCTTAAACCCAAGTTGTCTTTGGGGAATGTGCAATAAACTTCTGGGTGGGGGATGGGTGAGAAGATAAAATAGACTGCATTCCCTAAATGTCATTGGGAAGGACTATTTTCTGTGTCAGCTTGGACCAACTATTTTGTGAAACAGATAAGAGTGAAGGAAAACCCTGATTTTTCCATGCCAGTGAAATTAAAATGTTCAAACATTAAATTTCGTCTTTATATATCCATATCAGACCTTATTTCTGAATTCAGTTACTAATCACTGGGAATAAGACACAGCTATGGGGGGGGGGGGGGGGGGGGGGGAAAAAAAAAAAAAAAAAAAAGACACAGCTATAATATTTTTCAACAATTTCTTAAACTGCATCCATGGTTACCATAATTCTGGTACCCTTTTCCTGCAAACAATAGAACATTTACATATTTTTTATTAGTGTCTCTTTTGGTCTTCCTGGAAGAAAACAAGAGATAAAAAGGGAAAAACTGTTGACTCATCTATTAAGCTGGTTCAGCATTCATCTTTCAAAAAGGCTTCCAGGTATTATATGAATATACATTCGTATAATATGAAACTACATAATTGTAATGGCCTGTTTTTAAAAACCAGTAGTGTTTTTGTTTTGGATACAGTAAGCAGAATAGTTTGAATCAGGACATTTTTGTTCCATTACAGCTGACAGGCATTCATTTACTACTTAATGTCTTTTAGTTGTGGCATTCTAGTAGTAAATACAGTAAAATTACAAAATATGGTAATCAAAACAGGATCTACTAAAACTGAGGTTTCTTAAACTCAGTTGATCAGACATGTATGGAAACTGTAATACAATGAGATGAAACTGGGCAAAAATGAAAGCAAAACATGTGTTTAATGATACTATAAAGCAAAATGTCAGATAATACAGCATACCTATGTAAACTTGGAAATTAGGGCAAGTAAACCTGAATGTAACAGGACTATGCAATGAACTTTAGGTTGTCTGAAATAGTGATCAATTGTGATAATTTCTACAAATAGCTACAAATACAGACCAAAGAACCTCATTACCAGTACAAAATAGATTTTTCAGCAAAGCTCAAGTCCCTGGGGTATATGACTCACAAAGAGATTTGAATGCAATAATTACTGAAAATCCCATACTCTTTCTACCAGAGCACTCTATATAGGGTCACTCTGCATAGGATCATTCTCAAGTAACTAGAGATATCTTGGTAATGTAAATAATTATCTTCCCCTAATACCTCCATCTGCTAATTCATCTTTCATATACCAGCTTTGCATCAAGTGAAAGTCATCTGTACTAAGTCATTGTGGAGATCAAATAACTTACCATTTTTTAAAATCCTCACCCGAGGATACTTTTCCCATAGATTTTTTAGAGAGTGGAAGGGAGGGAGGGAGACAGACAGACAGACAGACAGACAGACAGACATCTCCCGCTCAACTGGGTTGGGAATCAAACCTGTGACCCTTTGGTGTGAGGGCTAATTCTCTTTACCACTGAGCAAAACCTGCCAGGGCAACTATTCCTTTTTAAAAAAAATATGGTTTTATTGATTTTAGAGAGAATGGGAGAGGGAGAGAGAGAGAGAGGGAGGGAAGGAGAAAGGGAGAGAAACATCAATGTAAGAGAGAAACATTGACTGGCTGCCTCCCTTAAACATACCGAGGATCAAACCTGAAATCTGGGCATGAGCCTAGAACGGGAATCTAACCAGTGACCTTTTGGTGTATAGGATGACACTCATCCAACTAGCCAGGACAACTTTTACCATATTTTACTAATCAAAAGTAGAAGTTTCTGAAGCAAATATTTAAGCCCCAATATTTTACCTGTTCCAGCAATGCTGTTTGCTTTTCCAGAGCTACACAAAAATTTTCATTAATTTGCTCTGAAGTTTTCAGGCGCTTAACATTTTCTTTGTTTTCTGAAAACATCCTCTTCTTATGATTATGGCCTTGGGGAAATGGAAAGATCAGAGATAAAAATACTCCTTCTAATGAAAGAAACAGGGCAATTCTCTAATTTCTAGACCCTCTCAGCAAATGGAAAAACTAAAATGTGACCATTGACAGCATTTTTTTAGAAAATGCAATTGTATAAAAAATTGCAACAACCTAATTTATTTTTTAAAATGAATATCGTAGGTAGGGTTGTGGTCTCAGATGCATTTTCCCTTCAATCCTACTTAATATACATTTAGTATCTATTTAATACAGAAAAAATGGAATAAATTATAGCATTTAATTTTCTACTTAGTTACTTAAGTAGTTACAATATTTCTATAAACAGTTACTTAGGCAGTCCTACATATTTTTAATAGGTGATCCTATTTTTAAGCAATTTTAAATTCATCTTGTTAAATGATCACTCTGAAGCCTACACAAAATTTATCCTATAAAATCAGCTTTTTCTTGTATTTCATTAAGCTACACACAAACATCCTACTTTGAATGAAATATACTTTAGCTATTTTAATGATTTTCTAACCCTAGAACTTCATTGGTTAATTATTTAATGCATTTCTCTCTCTCTCCACACACACACACACACACACACACACACACACACACATTAAGTATGTATATGTGCATATACTTGGCACATTTCTCTCTCACTCTACACCAGTGATGGCGAACCTATGACACGCGTGTCAGAGGTGACACGCGAACTCATTTTTTTGGTTGATTTATCTTTGTTAAATGGCATTTAAACATATAAAATAAATATCAAAAATATAAATCTTTGTTTTACCATGGTTGCAAATATCAAAAAATTTCTATATGTGACACGGCACCAGAGTTAAGTTAGGGTTTTTCAAAATGCTGCCATGCCGAGCTCAAAAGGTTCGCCATCACTGCTCTACACACACACACACACAAGTATGTATGTATATGCGCATATACTTGGCACATGATTTACAGGTCAATTCTATGAAAAAAAAAATGAGTTCACCAACAATTTAAAAATCCACTCTCTCTTTCAATTAGTCTCCTAATCTAATAAATAAAACTTCAAAATAAGAAAATATGTAGATGAAATAAACCAAGCAAATGCTATAAACCACCTTTTGGTTTTTTGTGCTCTCAATAAAAAGTGACTGATTTCTTGACAGAATTTACTGCCTTTGGATATAGAGGGTACCATTTCCCCTCCCCACCAAGAATGGTTCAGAAACAAGATCCTCTGAAATATTTGTCATTGTTTACCTTTCCCCTGTCTATACAGGGTGTGGCTAAAATAGGTTTATAGTTTTGAGTACACAAAATAACTTATTCCTGTATAATTACTTATTAATTATGGTATTATTTTCCAAACAACTGTACTTTTGCCCCACAGGGTACGTACTCTACTGTTTCTATATCTGAGACTATAAAACCCACCAAAAGACAGTGATTATTTTGATTTCCCCAGAAGATAATACAAGTATACACTTACTGTTATTACTATCTGTGTCAAGTGATGACAGCCATGTTGATTCTGTATTTTCACCATTTGAAATGATAGAATGATAGGTTCTATAGGAGTCTTCACTTTTCAAACTGTCAGCAGTACAGTTACTATAAATGACTGAATTTACTGCCGTAGAAATTTTATCAACAGGCACAAAATGGTTGTCTGAACTTAAAATCAAAATGTCATTTTGCCTTTTATCATGCGATGCAGAATTGGAGTTTGTTTCTAAATGGGAAACTCTTTTATCCAAGGTATTGATTACTGCAGAATTTGACATTTGAACTACACTACTCAATACACTCTGTTGGTTACTAGTGGATTTCAGATTACAATCCTCTTCCTGTTGTTCAAAACAGGATCTTATTACATTTGCCTTGTTACAGTTTTCAGAAGTGTTTTGTGAATCTTTTGCCTCTTGTGTAGACAGATTCCTGGGAGATTCTATTGGTTTACTTGGCTTTTGGTAAGGGCATACAGCTTGTTCTTCAGTGGATTGCGATCTTGTTTCCAAATCAATTTCTAGTGGTTTTATTGAATTCTGAGAAGATACTTCACTTTTTTGTGAGCACGCTGAATTTTTATTAGAGTCCAATGAGGAAACATCATTTTCAGAATCTCTACATTTGTTATTTATGACAACACTTGAATTCTGATTATCACTTGACACATTATTCCCAATTGCTGCTGTTTTCAGTGCTTCAACATTCTTTGACTTATGGAGGATCTCTATTTGTTTCCGGCAACTGGCAGGCATTGTTTTTTTGGCTTTTAATATCTTCCGTTTACTTCTATCTGGACTTGCCATCTTTCATATCCTAGAATTTAAGATACCATATTTAAAAGCATTTCTCCAGCAGACAAAAGCTAACATCTATTTACAATATTAAAACAATGTTGAGACTATCTCTTCATTTAGTTATTTTTATTGAAAATCCACATTTACTAAAATGTACAAATAATTTCAATTCCTTTCTATTAATTCAAACTGTATAAATTCAAAATTTATAGTGCTAGTAAGCCTCTACTTGTTACTAAACCTGATCATTTACCTGGCCACTTTTTATATCACTTTACTGCTATAACCATTAACTTCTGGTTTAAATAATCTAAGCAGGCCATACGTTAGATAATCTAAGATTAAGTTGCAATTGTTCATAAACACAGAAAACAATGTTTTACATAGAACATTCCATTTTCTACACACAGTGGCACTTTTTAAAAGCTTTCCTAACATTCAAATTTTCAAAATAAATGGTACTGCAGGAGTAGTTCCCAATAGGCATGAATATGAAATGAGCACTAAGATACACAACATGATGCCAGTTATAATAAGAAAGCCAATTTAGGTTTTATAATACTTAATTATTTTTTAAAATATATTTCTTTACTGATTCAGAGAGGAAGGGAGAAGGAGAGAGACAGAAACATCAATGATGAGAGAGAATCATTGATCGGCTGCCTCCTGCACCCCCCCTACTGGGGATCAAGCCCGCAACCCAGGCATGTGCCCTTGGCCGGAATCAAACCTGGGACTCCTCAGTCTGCAGGCTGACGCTCTATCCACTGATCCAAGCCGGCTCTAGGGCTATAATTCTTAGTTATTGATTGTTTCTCATAATTTAAGGAAAATCTACCACATAGCAGAGAAATATTTTAGTATTTATCTCAGTGTCCACATCAACTTCTATCTGAACGGTGGGTAAGTAACTGGTCTAAAAGAAAGGAATATTGCTCTTTTTTTGCTGCTTGTCTGTTGCCATGATGGGTTGCATGCATGCTCCCAAGTAAAGGCTTGTCCTAGTCAGCTTTGCCCTGCCACTGCATCATCCCCACCTGGCTGAAGTTGACCTGTGACAATGTGAAACAGCAGATCTACAAACTGGCCAAGAAGGGGCTGACTCAACACAAATCAGTGTGATCTTGAGAAAATAGTGTTACATAAGTGACAGGCAATACAATCTTGAGAATTCTTAAGTCAAAAGGATTCGCTCCTGATGTTCTTGAGCATCTCTACTATTAATTAAGAAAACTATTGCTGTTCAAAAGAATCTTGAGAGGAACATATAAAAAATTAAAAAGCATAACTTTTTTTAAAAAAGGATTCTGATCCTTTTTGTAAATTCTGTCCAATTTTGATCAATAGCCGTATTCACTGGTTGGCTTAATATTATAAGACCAAACAAATCCTCCCCTGCAACTAGACATAGGAGACATTCACAGACTCTGCCCAAGTGGCATAAATTTATCTATGTACTCAAACAATAAAATTGTTTAAATAGGAAAAAAAAAAGGAATACTGCAGTACTTCCAGTTAAGATGGTGGGAGCTAAATGCTGTGTTTGCCTCCTCCCATTATCTCATCAAAATTACAACTAACTTATTCAACAACCATTATTGAGAACCACCTGAAGACTAGCTGAATGGAAGTCCTAGAACTAAAAAATATAAAGATGCCACAATGAGACTGGTAGAAGGGACAGGGATGTGGTAGGGTCAGGTCCCACAATAACGGTGTTGGTATTAAAAATCAGAGGATTATCTCAGCTTTAAAGTTCCCCCAGAAGAGTGAGGGGTGCCAGCCTCTCACCTGGCTCACCAGCCCAGGGCAAAAGTGATGGGAAGAGGAGTGTCCATAATGAGTCCCAGGAATTCCTCGAGTGAAACCCCCCTTTTCCCGCTGCAAGAATTCGCCCCCTCACAAACTTACTTGCTCACTCACAAACTCAATCGCTCTGCGCTCCAGCCAAGGGGCAGCAGCTCAAAGAGCGCCAGGGACATACATAGAGGAGCTGAACTGACTGGTTTCAGAACAAGGGCTTGAAGGTCAGGGGTCAAGGCAGTTCTCTCTGGGGATGGAAGTGCTGGCAGGCACCACTGTTCTTTGTTCAGTCTTAATCTCACAAAACTGGCAGCCCCACACAGGTACCAAAGCTGAGCTCTCCATTAACCTGGCTAACAATGTTTGCCCAGCTCTGGTGATTCCTTGAGATGCAGTCCCACCCACCTTACCCACCCAAAACGAGCTGTTTCCAGGGGCTTCCACACAAGTAGCATTATGCTGTGGACTTTATCGAAAAGCCCACAAACTGCAAACAGAAGCAGTTGGACTAATCATGCCTTGTACTTCTTGCTAAGTAGCCCCAAGGCTGGCACAAGTGGTGACTGCTCTCAACATGCATTGTGACTTCCATTGAAGCAATGAAGCATAGTAACATTCATCTCAGGTAAAAACTGCTGTATAAATTTTAACCCTGCTATTCTGGCTACTGTAAACATTTGCTTGCTTAAACAATAGGGTAGTTAAACCTCCATTTCCAGAATGAGACCTGGAAACTCACATAAATTACCCCATTATGTTGCCAGCCCACATTACGGCTTTACAAGGGTTATTTTCCTGTGCCTGAGGACCAGAACTGCAAAAATTGCTTTAATTGCTTTCCCATTGACTCAGTGGCTCGGGAATGTTGTCCCTTGACTCAATGGCTCCAAAAACTAAAACTATAACTAACTTTTAGAGATAACTAACTTTGCTCAGTTTGCTTCTGTACAATCTGCTTTCACAAGATAGCTCTACATTCCAACGTCTAGCAGGATGTGGTTTTTTTGTCTTTATAAGCTCAGTACTGTAGTCACTCAGAGCTGCGAGATTTGGAGAGCTAATGCCCCCTCGCAGCCGCCGGCTCTGGAAGAAAGACTTCTTAATTTGACTTCTTGGGTCGTCCTTTGTGTGATTCATGGGGTACATTACAACACCACCAGGTGGCTCCAAGCCTATTATAAAGTTGCAACCAGTGTTGACTTGTAATATAGCTTCAATTAATCAGCCAGAAACCCAACACAAGTGACAGGTGGCTTCAGCTCACACTGTGGTGCCCACACCAAAGCATCCCAAGATTGGCACAAGTAGCAGCCAGCCTCAGTTCACAGCATAGCTTCTCTCAAGAGCCTCTAGGCCCAGCACAAGCAGCCACCAACTGCATATGACTCCCAGCCCCTACCTGTGCCCTCCCAAGAGGCTCCAGAAACAACACAACTGGTTGCCAGCTTGATAACACACAAGAGCACCATTCAACCAGCTCCACAAATGACACATCCAAAGGGCAGAATGGCTGGCACGAGGACTCTGTTAATGTGACTTTCCTTCTGGGGGGGGAGGGGTCAGCCCACACACAACTACTTATCCGCTGTAGTCATAAACAACCCTCAAAGCCAGGTAGCCCAATGGTCAATTAAACCCACTGATATACCAAAAACAATCGTGACTCAACTACAACAGGAGGCACACACAACCCACACAAGGGATACATACCCCTTGTGCACCCAGCTAAGGGGAATAGGGAGACTGTGCCAATGGGCCTCACAGGTCACCTACTACATAAGGCCATTCTGCCAAGACTAAGAGATGTAGCAGATCTACCTAATAAACAGAAAAAAAAAATCACAGTGAGTCAGCCAAAATGAGGAGACATGTCCCAAATGAAAGAGGAGGGCAAAATTCCAGAAAAAGAACTAAATGAAATGGAGACAGGCAATCTGCTGGATACAGAGTTCAAAACACTGGCTATAAGAATGCTCATTGAACTTAGGGGAAGAACAGATAAACTCAGCAAAACCTTAGAAACCATAGACGGGGAGGAGGGGAGGCAGTCAGAAAATGATCCCCAGTGGGGGCCGTGATGAATACATTAAATGAAATGAATATATTGGAGAGAATCAACAACAGATTAGATGAAACAGGATCAAGAAGACACGGAAGTGGAAACACCTAATCAGAATAGCTAAAAGAAAAAAAAAATGAAGATAGTTTAAAGGGCATTCTGGGACAACATCAAGCATACCCACATTCACATCATAAGGGTACCTGAAGGAGAAGAGAGAGTGAGCAAGGGATTTGAAAACCTATTTGAAGAAAAAAAAAAAAATGACTGAAAACTTCTCTAACATGCAGAAGGAAATAGACATACAAGTTCAGGAAGTGCAGAGTCCCAAATAAGATGAACCCGAAGAGTCCCAGCACACATCATAATTAAAATGTCAAAGGTTGCCAAAACCGGTTTGGCTCGGTGGATAGAGCGTCGGCCTGCGGACTCAAGGGTCCCAGGTTCGATACCGGTCAAGGGCATATACCTTGGTTGCAGGCACATCCCCAGTAGGGAGTGTGCAGGAGGCAGCTGGTCGATGTTTCTCTCTCATCAATGTTTCTAACTCTCTATCCCTCTCCCTTCCTCTCTGTAAAATATCAATAAAAATATATTAAAAAAAAATGTCAAAGGTTAAAGGCAAAGAGATAATCATAAAAGAGAAAAGAAGTCAGTTGTGAACAAAAGAGCTTCCATAAGATAATTAGCTATTTTCAAAAGAAACTATGGAAGCCACGAAGGAATGGCACAAAATATTAACAGTGATGAAAACCAAGGTTCTACAACCAATATAACTCTACCCAGCAAAGCTATCATTTAGAATCGAAGAAGAGCTAGTTACTATAAGAAAACGCTAAAGGAATTCATCACCAGAATTACAAGAAACGTTATAGGGATTTCATTAAGTAAACAACAAAAGATCAAAAGTATGAATAAGAAAATATAGCAAATAAAAAAGTTCTCACTGACAAAGGAAAACATTTAGGAAACACAATGGATCAAACAAATATAAAGCTAATACAAAGCTTACAAGGCAAAAATAGAACGATCATGTATAATTACAATAAATTAAGGGACACCCACAAACACATGCACAAAAGAAAAAATGAGAAAAAAATACAAATGAAGGGGTAACTTTAGAATGTTAAAACTTAAGTGACAAGCAGCTTAAAATA